CTTACCAGCCGCAGTAGTATGTCAGTGAGAGCCAGGATACAGCTGTGGAGAGCCTGCGTCGGAGCAGCGCTGTTCTATGCCATTGATTCCTCTGGCGTGACTCTCAGCGGACTGCGTAAAATTAGAGTCTTGGTTCAGAAGCATTTACGAGCCAGTACCAGATCCCTGACACACCTCACGCACCTCAGCAACCATGCCCTTCTGGACAAATATGGAGTTCCGGAGCGAGGCGCTTACATCAGGGACTGCATGAGCAAATTGGTCGGTCGGTGGAACGCCAACGCTGACAGTGCTACAAGTATTCCCATCAAAGCTTGTCAGGAAATCTTGCAGTGAAGACAGCGCAACCTGAGCAGCCTGGACCTCATGCTCCAAAAGGAGGGGCCTGAAGGTAGGCTCTTTCTTAAGTGCCCTCATTGTGGACAAGAATGTGCAAACAAAACAGTACTTGGTTCCCACATTGCCAAAATGCATGCGCAGACTACCCGCCCCACCTTTGACAGACTGGTTCACTCAGTTGGTGGCAGGCCCAGATGCTCTGGTTGCAAGGAGCTCTTCAGCTCATGGGATAGACTGCGTAAACATATTGAGCACGGAGCCTGTCAGTTTCCTGTTCTGGAGAGCAGACAGACGCGCGGCGAGCCAGAGGCTGTTAAAACAGAGGCAGACCGAGGCCTTGCCACTGAGGAGAGTTCTCTGCCAGCGGCTCATCATCCAGATGTTCATCACATGTGCAACAAGGGGGATGGCAAGCTCTTGTAAAGAACGTGACGTGGCGAAAGCAATTGGCCCAATGGTGTTGCTTGTGTGGTACATGGTGCGCCTCTAATAGAGCAGTGAAGATGCATCTGGCCAAATCTCACAAGGCGGAGTGGAATCCACGCAAGACTAGAATTGAGTTACTCTGCAAATCTCAGCAAGCTGACATCGCAACTCCTTGTTCTTATTGTGGATCGACCTCTAAGGAACCCAAAAGTCACGTTGTCGCTTGTCCGGTCATCTTTCAGTCGATCTTCATAGACCTCCTTCAAAATGGCAGCAGCAACGGAGGCGAACTTCTTTCAGCGCCTGCTGCCGGTGGGAAGCCTGAACCAAGCTCAGCAGGGCGGTCCAATGACAGGGGTGGTCGGCATGGAAGCAGCCAACAAGAGACCTCGGACGGAAGGAGCAGGCAAGGGCTCGGGAAAAGACAAGCGCAAGCAAAGGCCGCCCAAGGGACAGGGGCGCTCAGGGCAGCTTTCTCGGCAGGAAGCTCCAGACATCCAGAGACTGACGGAGGCCACCGCCAAACTGGCTCTTCGACTGGCGGATGCGAACCAACTGGTGCTACAGGACTGCAGTTTCATCTGGTTTGTGAGCCGGGAGGAGGGCAGCATACTGCCAGTCATGTTCGGAGTCAGCGCAGAGTGGAGACGCATCAAGGAAGCAACTCCGCACCAGATCAGTCGGCCCGTCTTCTCAATCATGATGGAGTGCATCCTGAAGGAGCTAGTGGCCAGGGTTCAGCAAGCGAGCCAGGACGAGCATTTGCAGAAGGCGGCGAAGGCGGCCTTGTGGACCAGCGCGGAGGGAGCATGGCTGTACAAGCGATGGGATCCTCCAACAAAGTCCCTGGTGACGATGGAGAATCCTCCCCTTACAACCAATGCCTTGCTTCAAATACTGGAGGAACTGCTGCAAGATGTCAGGACGACGGACGGACTTCGCAGGTTTCATGCGTCGCGGCCTCTGACCCAGGAACTGGCAAATCAGGCCATGGACCAGGAGGTTTGCTTCAGTATTCAAGTTGCTCTGCGCGGAGAGGCGGGGCAGAGGATGTATCAGAATTTCAACAAGCTATGCGACAAGATGGTGTTGAAACTTCTGAAAAGCAGACTGCGCCCGGAAAGAAGCCAGCGCAACGGCCTGGCAAAAATGGTGGAAGAGCTCCTATATGGGTAGCTGCTGGGCTAAGGTTACAGAACTCTGGCAACACATGCTATGTAAACTCCTTTGTACACACGGTGACCTGGCTGCTGGAGATGACTGGACTTCAGGTTTCTGCAATGGGACGCGGGGCCAATGCTTGGCGTGCAATCATGTCTCAGGCACGACCTTTTTCAGTTACGCAGCTGTGCCCGTGGTGTGCCCTGCAACAGGGGTGGAGACACGAAGGCAGGCAGCACGACGTGTGTGAGTACATCATGTTCATTCTGCAAAAGTGTCAGGACACGCCTTTTGGGGGTAGCTGGGAGGCAAGAGTGATGTGCCCGCATGGCACACACGTTGCCGATTCAGGATCATGTGAGGCAGCCCTCGCTTTGGAACCCTCTGTGGCACGACACTGGACCTTGCAGGATGCTGTTCATGAATGGCCCCATCAGGCCCACATTCATGCTCTCAAAGATGTGCCTCAATGGTTGGTCCGTCGCGTCAACAGATTTCACCAGGATGCCAGTGGTGGGGCTAACAAAATCCGATCTGCTATGGGGTGGACACCTGAGCTTCGCATCCCTGCTTTTCGTGATGCAACTTTGAACGTCATTGAGGTGCGTTACAGACTGAGAGCCTGTATAGTCCATCTTGGAGAGCATGTCATGACGGGACATTATAGGGCCCCTTTGGTTCGTGATGCGGATGAAGTAGATGGGAACGAACTTCGCTACTGTGATGATGGAATCAAGGCGAAGCCATTATCTGGGATTGGGGTTTTGGCGAGTGACGTGTATGTGCTTTTCTTTGTCCGTGAAACTCCATCATCTCAGTAGCCAGGGGAGGCCTTGCGTACGCATCTGCATGCTTGATTGCAAACTCAATCTTGCATTTCAACGCACTTGTGCGTTGACATGAATCATTTGTCAACTGGGAGCCAACAAGATTGGCCGCTCGTGCTGAGCATGAGTGATGTCCTCTCACAAGACGCTAGACGTTTTGGAGCGCTGAAGAAGAAGAAGACCCTACAGAGTGGAGTTTCACAAGTGCCCATTCGGTTTTTGTATAGGTCGCCGGATCGGGGCATTCGGCGGGTTCGTCATGGCTGTGCTTGCCATTCCGGGTTGGTGCGCCCGCTAAAGCCCCGATCCGATTGCGTCAGGAGATACCCCCGACTTGGAATAAGAGTGAGTGTGTTGCTGATGTGCTCTGAGTTGATTGTTAAGTTGTTGTGGAGTGCAATTTGAAATTCTTTGATGGATCGCCATATATTTCTGAGTGATTGAAAAATTTCTCTACATATATGTTCGTATCTGATTGTGGTATGAACGCAAAATGGTCTGACATTTTAAAAAGATTACAGTACATTTCTTGCACTTAGCTGAAAGATTTGCCGTACTTTGCGATCCCATTTGCCAGCAATGGCCATTGGCATTGTCTCCCCTGAGAATGGCTTCAATTTCTCGTCTTTTGTTGAACTTAAAGGGAGGGGAAGGAGTGTACTTGGCAATTTTTGTTTCCATCACATATGATTTTTCCGCTCTTTTGGCAACAAACTCCGTTAGGGTGCTGGCAAGCCAATCAACTTGTATCATATCCTGATACGCTGGCTTGTTGGTATGCTTCTTTGGGCCCTGATACCTGCTAGTTCATCTGCTAGTTGGTTTATTTGCCATCGCCAATCCCAGTCTGGGCCAAATCGCATTGTGAAATCTTGCTGCGACAAATGTGCCGCATTTGCTACCATCAATCTCAACCAGCGAATGTGTCTGGGGGCCATTCCTTGGCATTGGTGTCCATAGGTGCCAGCAGGCATGATGGACCCTTTCACCATGCGAATTTTGCCTTTGGCCAAGGGGTTAAGGGCTTCAAGCTTCTTTGTTCGCCCAGAGGCTTTAGAGATCCTTTTGTTGACGGTGTGCAGCCGTCTCTTTCTAGCTGCTGAGCTGTCCACCCCTAACTCCCTTGCTAGGTCTGTGACCTGGGGGTCACCTTCGCAGGTCTGACGACGAAGCTGGTCCGCCGTTTGCTTGTTGGAGGCCACAATTTTGGTTTAAGCTGTGTTAACAGGGAGGGATCTAGCTGGGTCCTGTAGGCTTGCAGGCTGCGAGCCGTTACCTGGGCCGGAGTTTGACCATGCACATCAATGCTAATGTCATCCAACCAAAGGTCTAAGTTCTTCCCAAGCCCTTTTCCCCAAAGGACTGATAGCGGCCCATGCAGTGCGATCTTGCAGATGCTTGGAGCAAGGGGACAACCCTGCAGAAGCACTGCCCCTGGAAACAGACCCAGGCTCAAGATTTGCTCGCCACACAAAATTTTTCCGCCAGCGTAAATCTGAAGACACAATTCAAGAAGAATAGGGGGGTAGTGCAAATTCAGTCCCTCGGAAACAATATCCGCCCATTGAACGTTATCATAAAAGCCGGATATACCAATAACGATGGACGCAAAGTTGACACCCTTCAACTGAAGTGCTTCAGCACGTAACACCCGCCTGATGCCGACGTCAAGAGAGCATCTGCCTGGTACTGCAGAGTCCCACGGAGCGCAAGACTTATAGTCTTCGATCCATGTTTCCAGCAAACTCCACCGTAACCTGCAGTATTGACGCCAAAGCACGGTTCAAGGCACACGGTGTGCAGGGAAAATTGAGTGGGGATCTCTGCTTGTGACTCCATGCACTCAAGGAGCGAGAGAACAGAGATGACGAAGGCCAAAATTTTCACGAAGTAGATAATGCAATGCCAAGAAAGGTTGAAGAAGAGACGCGCTGTGAGGATGAAGAAAAGGCGAAAAAGAAAGCGCGATATGAGAGTTGGCTCAGTAGATCCGAAGATGGAGAAATTGTCCCGAAGGACCTTTTGAGCAGTTCTTTGAGTCAAGTGACATGGAATTTGTCAGGCAAGAAATCAAGGATTCGTGTGCTGAATGAAAAGCCAACCCCTTCCTTGGGGAGGCTGTTGAGGACATCATACGTCCACATGTCTGGGCCCCCTGCCTTGACTCGGCGTTTTTTTAGGCTTTCATGACCATATTAAGTTGTAGCCTAGGAAGAGGAGCAGCCTCGGAAATTTTGCTCCTGCGCAGCCTGCCTTGGGGAAGGCATGGTCGAGACCTTAACTGCAGCCATGCGACGCATGCTGTGCATACAGCACGTTGGAATCTCCATTCCAAAAAGCAACACCGCCTTCAAGTGTTTCAGTCATGTTCACACAGACATGTCCAGTGTGATTCGTGGTGACATTTGCGATCTGCAGCGTGCTTTATGATTGAATTAAATGCTGTTCAACATAACATGTGAGTGATATTTGAAATCAACCGCAGTTCGAAATCATACAGGTACAGATGATGTACGGCTCTTTAGTTGATTATACATGTCACTTTCGGATGATTTGGATTGAATCACTTTATGTTCATACCAGTTTGGGATCAGCTGAATGAGCTTCGGGTGAGTGCAATACATACGAAACGATATAAATATTGATAGTTCCGTCTTACCTAGTCTAGAACATACTATTGTCGAAACTTAAGGTCAGGAATTCAAACATCTTTTGTTGAGGTAGGTTTTGTGTATCAACTATCTTTTGTTTATTCCTTGCAGCTATGGTTTGATGTTATGCATATTCATCACGCGGACGTCTGAATGAGCGTGACGACCCATGTCAGACGGCAAACCCAAGGTGTCTTGATCAATTCGCATTGTTCGTCCCCAGCAATACGTGCGTAATGTGTTGTAAATTGTAACGAGAAAGTGTAACGACAGGACCGTTGGTTGGTTTCCTTGAGAATCCGTCCAGTAGTTTGCTTAGTGCACACAAGCATCACCTTCTGATTGCTTCCATAGCCGGAACGCAACGCAGCTGGGGGTTGGTAAATCTTGTACATGCAGCTTGTGGCTCCGCAGCAATTTGTGGCGGGGCCAAAGGCCAGTCTTCATCACATGTGGGCCAGAGCCTGAAAATTCGGGTTGGGATATGCAAATGCTCATGTGATGGGCTTTGCTTAAAACAGATGATTTCCAACACTTTTCGTTCGAAGCAGTTGCATCATGAAGATTTCAGCAATTGCAGCTTTCCCGTTTGTTTCCAGGCTACGGAGGGCATTTATCCAACAGCCGACGGCTGGTGCCCTCCTGCTTGGCCGACAAACGAGGCTTGAGACATTCCATGTTTGTGCAGTATAGAGCACAGATGGTACCTGTTGTATCACATTGCATTTTTGCATGGGCGGCAGCCGTGCCGAAACGTCAGGATGTCCTTTCACAAGAGGACATCGAAAAAGCCAAGCTCAGGAAAAGTTTAGTAAAACGCCAGGTGCTTAGCACAGGTGTTTGGTCCGCATTATTTGTTTTTGGGAGATTCACTACAATTAGCTTCCAACAATTCAGGCACGGCAATCGTGAGGGGGAAGCACATCGAAACTGTGCTTTGGCCAATCATCATACGTTTGCTGGCTGTCGCACTATAGTATCTACTGAGCACGCATGTTAACAATGTTGCGGTGACAAGTTCTGAGCATTTATGTCCAGCGAGCACCTTCCAAGGTATTGAGCGTGGATTTCATGGCGCGGTGGAAGTTTTCGATGATGGCGATTTGGTTGCACGCAAATCAACCTCATTTGAGCTACCTGCTGTCCGTTTTTATGACAGCAGTTGTGTTTCTCGTTGGTGGGCAACTGGGTAAGGCGCATGAACAAGGAGAGTTCAGCACACTATCGTTCAGTATCGTTGATCCAAGGGGGTTTTCAGAGGTGAATGGTGCGCTCATGCCAAGATGTGAATGCAGGTTTGGCCTCTGAAAGAGAGCTCCAAGCTTTCCGGGCGCGGTGACAACCGCAGTTACGTGGAGAGCTAAGTCGATTGATCCTATGCAGTGCAATCCGTGCGTACTTTCAATGTGTCCTGAAAGTCAGTACAGCAAGACGCACACAAGCCAGGTCTGTTGGGTCTATTACGAGCAACAAGATGAGCAATCGGCCGCAGCCTATGTTTGCCGATTCAATGGTTGGGTGCGCTCCAGGCGAGCATGCTAAGGTGTTCCGTGCGTTCAGCAATGTGGATGTAAAGCTGAAGGACAGCGAGAAAGAGGCCAGTGCAAGAGAAGTCTTTTTCAGCCAAGTGGTTACCGTTTTCGTTTTGAAGTTTCTCCGGCTGTGATCATCCAGTCATATTCTTTTTGTCAGTTACCTGTCCATGATGTGATGCAGTTGTCTTCTGATACATCGATCGAACGACAATGCAAGATGCATGCTACCAATGCCATGAGGAGCTATTGTCTTTGTGCTCCGCATTTTTCACATGAGGCTAGACCACTATTCCAAAAGATGACGACCATTTTTTCCTTAGTTTGGTGTGGGTTGACGCGGCTAGAAGGTGACCACCTCGGTGTTGCTAGCAGGTCGTGGATCCGGAGACGGCCATCAAGAATGAACAGAGCATCCTTCGTTGTAAGGAGCATCTGCCTTGTGCCTCACAAGCTTTCCTGAATCCTTGCATCAAAGAGAAAGTGTCTGTCTCTTGCCAGGACCAAGTCTGTTTCTTCAGCATGTATGAATGGGATGCCTTGGCCGGAACTGAGGAATGAGGCGGCACCAGATCTAGAACCAAGGCTCACTAGCTGAGTAATCTAAGAAACTAGATATCTTCCATGTTTTGCTTTCGAAGGTTTCTTAAGGCCGTGACGGGCTAGATTCTTTTGCCTTCTTCCAGAGAACAACAGCTGCACCTTGAGGCCTAGTCAACACTGGATAGCGAGTTGGACGTTGATGCAGATACAAAGCATATTTGGCAGCGTCTCACCAAGTTGATGCGTTTCAGTCTGCGGCATCCGTAGGCAAAACAATGCAAGTCAAGCCATCAACGTGTTTCTTTGCTCATGTCGCTTCACCCTTAAGGAATCTTAGGACAATGTCACCACATGCACACAAACGATGTACCGTTTGTTCTGGCCTAGGATGCCTTTGTGCATGTTGGCCATGCTAGAAAGGCAGCAGCACATAGGGGAGGTTTCGTCATGAATATCGACCTTGCATGTTGTGGGATGTTGGTCAGCCTTCATGCATTTGGAGTGGTTTCTGTTTGCTATTGCTTGGTTGCCTCCTGCTGGAGTTGACTGGAGAAAACCCCCTGTGATGGTGGACCCACAAGCTGCGAGGACCATTCATTCTCGAACCATTCTCTGCTCCAAGATTGTGTTTGCACCGCAAAGTTCGATCCTCCCCCAATATGCAGCAACATGGACAATTCCTGCATTAGAATGCCTACATGAGCCAGGCTCATTCGCTCCAGAAGCGATCCAAGGAATTGAGTGATAACTAAACCAATATCAACACAATCGTCCTTGTGCTATGCCTCAGTGGGAATTAAAGTGCTGCAAAGAGATCTGAAGTCTACAGCTCTCTTCCAGGCTGGCACACATCCCCAAAAGATCTGGGACAAGAACAAGAACGACACCTGCCGCCCCATGTGCATGAGACCCGTGAGTCATTTTGACGGTAGGTCATTTGCCAAGCTGTGCAGAGCTTCTGCTGCATTTTTGTTCTCGCAGCTTTTTTTCGCCAGCCTGTTGCCACATTCGGTTTTTGATAGCTCGCAGCCATGGGGGCGGTAGCATCGCGCTCATCCGGCATGTTTTGATCAGGACCAGTGCTCGCCTGAGGTCAATGAACAGCAATGGGTACTTTGAAGATGTGATGTTGATGTTTCTACTTTAGATCTTGCAGAGGCCAGGCGCAAAAGACCATTTGAATGTGTCCTCCATGTGAGAAGATAGTCTTCCGCAGTTGTCGCTTCCCGGACAGCTATCGTCGAAGTGTCATGTTCGGCGGCCAGGCATTTGCAGCCCGGCTGGCGAAGCGCCAGCACCAGCAGCCCCTCCCAAGGCTTCCTGCTCCATTGCAGGCACCCAGGGTTTCCCCTTCGTCTGACATCGGCATGTCTTTTCAGGTAGTATAGGCGGGGGATGGGGATGACGCAGCAGACAGCTTCTGCTGTTGACGTGATAAATTTGTCTTGCCAGTCATGTAGTCTTTGTGCCAACTGCAATGAACAGTTGACGGTGGCAGTTGCAGATTCATGTTGAACGCATGCGCAGGCTACGATTTTGATCCAGTCAAGGACGCACAGCAGCCGGAGGCATTCCTTGGCAAGTTGGAGGAGCAGCACTGCAAGTGCGTAGGGGGACAGGATTCCGTCAGAACGTACTTCGAACATGCGACGTAAATCGGTTGTTGCAACCTCTTTGCCTCCTTATCTCTGTAGGCTTATTCCTTGTGCTTGCAAACAGCATCAAATGCTGAGAACAGGAGAGCTCGCCCACGCGAAGCACAACTGCGGAGTCTGAATGTGTAGAGGCCGGCAATTACGGCTCAAGCGTTGCTATGCTTGCTGCCAGAAGCTTGTGAGTCTTTGCATGACAGTGCCATAATTGTGTGCTGCAGCATTGCTACCGGTGGTGCCTCACGTTGTGTGCCAGCTTTCTGAGAGTTACTGATAGTTATCGTATAGTAGGCCCATGACAGTTTGAAAATTAACCGCCACACTTGAGTGCCAACAGGAATGAGATAAGTAGCTCATGCAAATCACATCCCCTGCAGTCGGTTCCAGCTTGCGCATCGCTTTGAACTTTCTTGGATTTCAGGACAAACATGCAAGCATCACGGCTGACCTCATGAAGGCCTTATAATGAGTGATGCTTGACTGACTCCAATGTGTATGCCAGCAATGCTTCAATGTTGCGACCTGTGGTACAGATTTGATGGATTTTTTTGTATTCGGCCCGGCCCGCCGGGGTCAGCTACATCGTTTCAGTGTCGTGTAGGATGGCATGCTCTTTTGGGTTCGAGAGCATTGCACGACCATATGTGAGCACGACCTCGCTCAGCTGTCCAAAGAGGCGGATTCTGTCAGGAGCCGGCCGAATTTCAGGCGCCAAAGCCGGCGCCGACCACACCCATTACAGTGGAAACGCTGCAGGCGGAAAGGGATTGGACATGGGTTCACTATGACGACATGGCCACGACCTTGCCTTTCACGGTGTCTGTAGCCTACTGCCCTGTGAACTCACCGCCAGCTCGTTCCTTCAAAAGGTAAATTGGAGATTTCAGCGCATGAAGCCTTAGCAGATAGTGTTGCAGGGCGACTGGGTCAACAGCATGGGCGCCAAGATTCACGTCGCGGGCACTGAGGTCCAGTCGTAGATGATGCTTTGGAGGAACTCGACTTGGCCGGTTCGTGTCATGCTTATGTAATACCTGGTTTTGTGCAAGAAAGGGATCGCTTGTGGCTGTTTAAAGCTTGAATTATTGCCCGCGATAACATCAGAGTGTGAATCACGAGTGCAGCAGATGTCTGAATGAAATCGTAAGACTGCAGCTGGCCAATGCAGTAGGTCGATTGAAGTTTTATATGCTGCACGTTGTCAAGGAAACTTTCCCGACTGCTAGGTCTCGCTGAACGGCCTGGTCATGAAGGCGCACCCAATCCTCTTAAATGAGGATGGCACTGTCCGGATCTTGAAGTGAATTTGAGTTCACTCCAATCTTGGCACGCTGTTGTTGAGTATCCAAGCCAGATGATGGCATGAGATGGTTTAACCATGCGTCAACTTTGAATGTGGCTACGCAGCTCTCAGGTCAGCAGTGTGGGCCGAATTTGGCAACTCAACGGCTGGCTAGGGTCCCAGCAGTGAAGATGGCTGTTTCGAGCAGCATGGTGGCCAGTTCTAGTTTGCATCTGCTTCTTGCATGCTGCAACAATTATGTCAGCGATGCTTTGCTAAAGCAGGCATTGCCGGCTAGTACTCCTTGAGTCGAGACTGGTTCGACGCATCTTGCTTTAGCAGCATCCGCACAGGCTGGAGAATGACAAAGTCGAGTTCAAAGAAGCTCCAAGCAAGGACATGAGAGTCTTAGATTTTCATGAGAGCATTCGCTTGCTGTTTTTGCAGGGCAGATCGGAGCATTTGTGGTTTCTCTGTTTCCCAGCCACGAAGGAAGGGGCCACTCTCAATGGTTTCTGAAAGTTTGCTTCAGGAAGTTATGCAATTCGCCCGCTCCGTCGTCTGGAGCAAGGCAAGCACGCTCTCCACACGAAAATGGCTGCAAGAGCCCATGCTTAGCATATGATGACAGTGCTTTCAACAAACATGCTAGCGTAGACAAGTAGTCTCCGAAAAGATGGTCGGAAAGTTTGCGAACACGTTGATCCAAGATCATCCAAGGGATAGCAATTTTCAACATCCCTCGAGCTGAGCATCAGGTGTCCACCGAGCGCATGGAAGCATGGACGGAGCAGATGAAGGCCATGGGTTACGCAGGCCTGACTGCCATGAAATTGTAGAGAAGGGACTCTGCGGTCGTCGTGGCAAGACGCACATGTTGTCCATGACTCTTCGATAGTACATCCTTGGCTTCCTCCCCACAAGAAGCCGACACCAAGCTTTAACATGTCTGAGGATCTGCGAACAATCCTCTTGCCCGTGGTATTGAGGCCGCGTTGAGCATGGTATTTCTTATCGCAGCACAGGTGTTGCAAATTGGCGGTCCAAGCTTTATAAGTTCTGTAGCTTCAAGACAGCATGCCCGTTGCACACAGAAGAAGCCTTGTCAGTTTAGTTTGTGCGTCTACCAGTAGTGTGCACTGATATGTGTGGCTTCCGCGTTTCCATAGATACGTCCAAGTCTGCTGGTATCACTTAGCTTCGCAAGGGCTGCTGCCCGGGAACGTCTGATGCCCATGCCAAGCTGGCCTTCCCCCAAGAGATTGTCGAGCATGGAAGGCAGTCTTCGTGTAAAGGCAGCTAGACTTTCGTTTAGATGTTGCTTTTTCTGACGGCAACGTCCGCACAAATTGTTTTCCAGAATTCAAGCATTGCTTGACATTTTAGGCAAAAGTCAGCCAGAGGTCAGTTTTTCCAAGTATTGTCAAGGTGGCAGACGACGAAAACAAGGACAAGGCGGGCAGTTCCGCCAGCTGTGCAGGCTGCATATGGGTTGGTTGCACATAACATGGGATTCTAGCTCGCACCGAAAGCCAGGCGGAACTGAAGCTGTTGAATGACCTGATCTGCAAGTGGCGGGTGCCAGGTCTGATCAAGGCTCCCAGTGCTTTGTGGAGATGGCGCTGTTTCGGTCAGCCTGGCAGATGATCGCCAAGCCACCTGCAGGTCCCGCCCCGCAAGGTCATTCCAGACTTCAGCAACAGAGGCGCGCTGGGTTAATCACAACAGGCAGTAGCTGTGGCTTGCCGCCTTGCACAGAGCACGGAACATGAGCCGTTTGTCAAGGCCACACAGGTCTCAGTGTGGAGCATGTCCATTACCTCGCGACGAGTTTCAAAGAGAAGGGCGTTGATCTTAGCACGTCTTAGCCGCCGTGTCACGCACTATTCGCATTCGCTCCAAGCACGAGTGCCGGGCTCTTCTGAGCTATCCTTTTCATTTTAGTGCTCATGCATGCCTTTAGGCTAAGCTGGCTAAGCACCTGCGCGATAGATCGCAGTTCCCAGCCTGACCCTATCCAATCATTCTGCACCTGTCCCCCTCTCTGACGTCGAAGTAGAAGGGATGATTGACATCTGTTCCTCAGAACCAAGGCTTCCAGAAACGAAAGGGCAACGAGGGGCATGACATTCCTGTCCTCGTGCCTGGAGACTCAGTGTCCTTGCGTTTAATGTTTTCGCTTGCGTGAAGGTCTTGTAAGTATGGGATCACAGTGTAGCTGGCCTGATCTGAAGCCCTCTTTTTATGGCCTGTTGGCATGGCATCTAATGCATCTAATCAATATGGAACAGCAGTAGCGTATGTTTTTGCCCAAAAGAGGTGTGAGAAAACCAGCAGCGAGCTTGGACGGAAGTCCATTGAGCCAGGGTCTCAGAACGAGCCAAGAACAGGCAAAGGCCAGTCAGGATGCAGCAGAGATGATGTCATGTACGTGGCTTTCCAAAGTTGCTTCCCAGGAACTGGAGGTCGAAGCTCCAGGATGAGAAAGGTTTTGCTCCAGAGGAGCGCAAAACGCAGTTGTGTGCTCTTTTCGGTGGCGACTTTGGTTGTCACCATGCTGTCTGCAGCTCTGGGGTTGTCAGGAGCATTATGAGCGGCTGTTCAAGGGACAGGCACCTTTCTTTGCTTGTCATCTCTCACTTTAGCAGTACTGCACTCTGCTAGCAAATTGGATGATCCTTGCTCAGGAGCTTTATACCTCCTTGGGCAATGGTCACTTCAATCAGGCCACTTGATGGGCACTGAAGCGGATCTTTAGAAACCGTGCGCCATGCATTCGCAGGGTGAATGGTGCTGCCTGCAGGCTCTCAATCTCTTCTTTCGAGAATGCCCCAGCGGACACCTCAGATCGGCGCAGAAGGTCTGCCAGTCCATGCGCTCTCACGTCAAAGTGGCTCTTACCAGCCGCTCAAGCATTTCCCAGCCACGGTTTAATCTGCTTTGCATGGCAACATCTGAGCTGCCTGAGGCATTTATAGTCAGGAAAAGTACCTCATTGGCAAGGACCGCCATCCTCTCCCTTTCCAAACTGGCAATTCAGCAACTCTTCCAGGACCGTGATCTTAAAGAAGCTATCTACCAGGGAATCGGTGCGGGACCCAGGTGTTGTGAAGGTGGAACTGAAATATGTCCAAAGTTTTGGCCTCTGCCATGGGCAATGTTGATCAACAGGGTGCTGGTGCCATGGCATGTTTTCGTTACTGCGACAGGTTGCTTTTCACAATGACTAGGATTTGGGGTGATCCGAATCCCGACAAGTTCGGAACATGTAGGGATAATGGAAGAGAACATGGAAACTACAGGGATTATAGGGGTTATATTGGGATAGTGGAAAATAATAAAATGGAAACTACAGGGATCATAAGGATTCTATAGTGACTCTATAGGAGTTATATAGGGGTTACATAGGAATAACGGAAAATACTGGGGTCGTAGTCTGTAGAAGTGCTACAGGCAGCATGTGTCTTCATGGCATGCAGACAAGAGCCTGTAGGCGAGATGAATTTTGGGTCCTTGATTGTCCCAAAACGCGTCCTCCCAAACGATCTGGATGAGTGGAGCAGCTTAGAGTACACTTTGTGGGAGTTTGAGCCCTTGAGAGTTCCAAAAACGCGTCCTCCCAAGCCATCTACCTTGAGTGCGGGGAGCAGCCGAGTGTTGTCGTGCGACCGTGGTGCATTACTTGCAGTGGTGAACAAATGTCTTGTCATGGTGAGCATGTCTGTTTTGTAATCGTGGTTGCGGCGCCCCCCTCCAGCACATGTGTCTTCAGTATTCGAGGCATTCCCTCCCTACATACCCTGCTTGAGAAAACTCTGCCCAGGCAGCATCGTGCTAAGGGCTGAAATCCCTCTCAGGGATCGTGATGGCCCTGGCATCAGCTGCTTCTGTCCAGAATGTGGCCGTCGTTTGCAGTTGTGCTTTGTGGACATCAGCAAGGGTTTGGTTGCTGTGGTCTTGTCAGCTTAGAATTGTAGTTGACTTCGGAGTACTTGCGCGAAGGCGAAACAATCAGCAAGCTGCTGAATTCCAAGCGTGAGTTCAAGTGGTCACCTTTGCCTGTTTTTCTTTTCGGACAGCCCTACTTCTGTCAGGTCATGCTGGTCTTGTTTCGCTGCCAGGAACGTTAGTGAGGATGGAACACTTGACATCACGGATGCTTTCGAAGACACTCGCACCTGCAAGCAGTTCGAGGCATCGGAAGGGAAGACCGGTCAGTGAAATCACCGCAAGATGTCTTTTGATTGCACCATTGCACTTGCATCTTATTTGAACGCTCAAGGGAGTCGCAACATCCTTTTCAAGTAGAGTCCCTTAACCATGCCCAAGTATCCGTATTTTAGAGCCGTAAATGCCATTATGTTTTGCAGTTCATATATTGGGGGGACGCGCCATACATTTTACAAGTATATGTCGATGTGCATGTATATGTGACACTTGTAAATGCATGGCATATATGCTGTAGTTACTGCATGAGCTTTACTCAGATTGCAAGACCAGGGTGTGGGATAGTCTGGGCTTGATGTGACGAGGCCCTCAGCAAGGTTCTTGACGCCGAGAGCCCAGCTTTACCCAGGATGCAGATCTGCTGCACAAGCCTACACACTGCTAAGGTAGCATCGGAGGTTTCTATCCCATAAACAGCATTGCGTTCACTTTGGTGCACAGAATCTAGAAATTACATATTACATATACGTAGCTACACATGGAGTCTCCGCAGTGATGCGTCCGAGGCAGTGGAGCTGAATTGCCTGGTGAGATCCGAGCTTGGGGTGACAGACAGCCACCGCGTCGGTCAATGAACGATCTGTGTTTCTTCTCTCTCCGCCTTTAGGGCGCAGAAGGATGAGGCTGGTGAGGCGAATGTCCGGAGTACTTTGCTGAAATTTTCACTAAAGCTGGGCATGGCATCACCATGCCCCCTTGTGTGCCTTTGGCTTTTCGACAGCAATCCTCTGAAAGAGGATTGCTGATGAGAGATGATGTATCTCATCCGGGAATTCTTGCTTCCGGTACAATGTCATACTTGAGGCTTCCTGTGCTAGAGACGACTTTCGAGAAGTTACAAAGCTGTTCAAGCGTCATGATACCAGCTTGCACGCTGTTAGGACGAACCGGCTCCGTTGAACAGGGCAATTAACCGCGCACAGAGCTGGCATTGTTCCTCACAGTGGCTGCCTGCTTGATTCTGAGCAATCCCCCGGTATCGTGTTGATGTCCAGATGCCGTGAGAGGTGACATGCTACATTTCCTGGCAAAACGTCTCACTTTTGTTTCCTCGAGGATTGGACATTTTTTCACAAATTGGAACGGAATGACATGTAGGAACATGGACGAAGGAACACCTAAACCCTGAACCCTAAATGGTAGTTTCCATTCTATTTTCCATTACATCTATATGATACCCCTTTTTTCCCAATAGGGGTATAAGTCTTAGTGATTTGCGTTGTACTGCAGCAAACAGGCACCTGACAGAAGTTCCAATTTCTCGATTTATTTGGGGTACAGAGGAGGATGTGGCATCAAATAGCCAGCTTCCTGACAAGTTCGCACCACTTCGCATAATACAATTTCCAAGCATGGAGTTTAGTTTAGCGGGGGAAAGCTAGCTTAGGCTTGTTGCTTGTGTTTCAAATTCACTTTTTTAATTCGTGCTCATGCACATCTAACCGGGCATAAAAATCCCGGACAGCTGCAAGGCCAACATTTTATAAAGATCGGCCTTCCGCGCTGCCTTCTTGGCAGCCGGGCAGCTTTGTTCTCCTTTTTAATCACACTGATGGTTAGCTGCTCCCTGGGGCCCTCTCTTTCCATTTCCCGGCAACTCATGTCATGTACGTGCTGTGGCACGCGGACTACTTGGCCAAGTCCACTCGGACTGACGAGGTGCCGGAAGGACTCGGCAAAGCGTGGTTCTGTGCAAAGCCGTCTCAGGGAGTTCTCGGAGGATAGCCAGCCGTCGTTCAATTGCAAGTTGCGTGCATGTGTTTCATGAAAATGCGCGCCTCTGGAGCCAACACGAGTCTGCTGCTTCTCCTGCTTGCCCTGGTATGCTATGTTAGCATGTGGCCCTATACCATGGATGGCCTCAGGTGGTGCTTTATGTAGATACTCATAGGCTTCTGTCTCTTAAGCCCACATCAGTAAAGGCGCCAAAAAGTTGTTGTTGGCAACTCTTCAAACCTGTTTCTTCATGCATGGGCGAGGGGCCAAAGACCTAGTAGTCATGGTGGCGATTTCACATGTGGCCGCTCATCTTGCCGCTCCAATCTGTTTCGTGGACAGTTTCTGCTGCAACTACTGGTTGATAAACACGACTTGAGCAAGGGTACTTGTCCGGCCATGATCCGCTACACAAAAGGCGCTTTTCAGCATCTTGGATCAACTTGGCCGACAAAAGCCTGCAATCTGACGTGTCCCCAATAACATTGTTTCATTGCTTTCCTACGCCTTACCTCACAATAGTGGAATATTAGGTAGGGACAGCAATGGCTTTGCATTGACCAAGGACTCTTTTCTACTGGTGGGGCGGCATCAACCGCCACCTGATAATCAACTCCGTCACATGGCAGGAAGCAAGTTGCGAGACCTGCACTTTCAAATTATTTCTTGTGTGATGCTCCCAGAGCGTGGGTCACAACATCTGCCTGGGTCAAATGATTTTGGCTTAGCAGACTGTACCGCATCAGCGGCTGCGGTTTTCTGCAGTGTCTGTGATTGTGATACCGAGGTCTATTACTTGTTTTTTCTTCTGATTTTGTACTATGTGCCGCTCAGCAGCATTCAGCGCCGTTCGAGGGACAATAGAGGAGACTTAACGGTGACCTCAGCCTGCCCTTGCTGATTTACAAGCCGTTAGGTGGTAGCCAGTTCTGTAGGGAGGGTCACTTCTGGTGGAGGCCTTGTTTCTTTAAAGTGTACCCGACACAGTCAGAGCATCCGTGCAGATGGTCAGGCTTTTCCGATCCACCTTTCTCCCCCTAAGGCAAAACCGATATCCCATCACGCAAGTTGATGCCTCCACGAATGGTGGCTGCCTGGGCATCTGCATTGACAATCAAGCCGTTGCAGGCTTTTGACGGTTCGATTACTTGGCCAACGTTAGCGTGGGTCGTCATGTTTCCAAATGGCTCATTCAAACCTGCGTTGGTGCTCTAACTTGTTCTTTGCCAAGGCATCTCCATGCTGGGGAGTCTGGCTCCAAGAGCAGAGTGCACTTCCCTCTTGTCAGAACAAGAAGATGCAATGCGGAAGCGGGAAAGGACGCATAAAGAGGTGCTAGAAGCTCCTCTTCTGCACACCTCAGGTTTGACGGTGTTCTTGCTGGTGTTCCGCCTGGACCCACAGTCTCAGTCTCCATCAAAGTATAACAGAGATGTGCTTCCATCGATCTAAAGCTATGAGATTCTTTCAACGAGGGGAATGAGCCAGAGCACCTTTCGGCAGGCATGAACCAGTCCATGGCCCGAAACAACGAAGCCACGCAGCGAACGGACGCACCTTGGCTAGCTTGGGCTTCTCGTGAGTGGCCTTACTGGGATCTTGCCTTGGCTGCTCGATAAGCTGCTCTAGCTTGGTTCCGCCAAGGAGATGTTCGGAGAGCTGGATTTCTTGGTCCATTCTGTGTGCACCTTCATGCAAGGCCCTATGTGATAGTTTCTTTCCTACTAGATCCATGCTCTCTCTTGAACGAGCACGCATGTATCTTTTGGGGAAGAGTTCAGATCTTTTCGACGGCAGCATCTTCTCTGAGACAAATTTCTCCATCTTCTGACTGGAGACATGGCGATGTGCAGGTGCTGGCGAGGACTCGCTGCAGGAGTTGATTATGAATCCATCACGCAAGCGCACCGAAGAGGAGATGGGCAGAGCGGATGACATCAATGAGACAGGAATAGGAATTCCAGCGTCTACTCCAGGTATGCAGTTTTCAATCCAATTCAGTCCGGTTTTTAAATGCGTAGATGCCGGGAAGCATGGAAAAGCAAGGGTGTTTAGTTGAGGAGATACGTCTCCTACGCCTTCATGGCGAGCTTGCGTCAGCGGTTCGGATCCACGTAGTAAGGCTTGACGTTGATGTCCATGTCTGGTCTCTGCTCAGAGAGGTGGGCGTGATTGGATTTGAAACCAGTTGAGCAGGCTGACAATTGCCTTCGGCGTCAGCAGCTGGGCTGCAGCTTGATTCTCGAGAGCCCCAAAAAGAGAGAGCAAGTCCAGATTCTAGGTGAACTGGCTAAGACTGCCTTTCTTGGCCGGCTAATGTTGGAGCTTGAGGTGTTCTGTTGTACTTCCGCGTCCTCTGCGCCCTTTCAGATTCGCAAGGAGTACTGGAAGAGGAGGCACGTCAGTCAGCAAACTCACTGTCTTGAGACCATCATGATAGCTAGAGTGGCCAGTCATCCCATTTCGAGTTTTGCAGTGCGCTGACATGGCGCTGTGATTCGGAAGGACCTGGTGCAGATCGTTTTTCTGCACGGCCGGCTCCAGGCCGAGCAGTTGCATTGGGTTAGCTGGGCATGGTACTGCCACATCCTCGTCTTCTTGCAAATGTCTGCTTGCTTCCAGGCCTTGCTGTATGAGGAGGAAATGGAGGTTGTGGATCAGTATGTGTCTTTGCAGCACAAGCAGATTCAGGTTCAGGCTTGAGCTCGTTTGGCACAGCATCCAGATTTTTTGTCCGTGCGGCATGCACAGTAACTTGCAAGCTGTGGACAGAAGAAGCAAACATGTGCGTTGCAGCTCTGAACCAGCAAATTTCCACCTGAAATCGTTCTGGAACTGATGTAAGTTATCGAATGTTTTTGATGCATCTGAGATGGGCATAACCCGCGAGACGGATGGAAGCCGGGGACCTAGGAGAGTTTCTTCCGAAGCGAGCTTGGAATAGAAGATGCATTGGCCTCACTGACACAACCACAGCTTCTGTTGGAGACACCTGAAAGCAGGGTTTTGCATGTGCACCAGTCCCCTTCGGATGTTCGTCCTCCAAAGGTGTGCATTACCCCAGCTAGGATGGCAAAGGACGAAAAGTGGTACGTTTCTTGACAATCCTGCTTTTCAGCAAACTGCTAGAGTTGTGCTGGTGTTGGTGCAAGATGCTGGCAATGCCTCTTGCAGTGGTGTCGAGGGTTTTTGCTGTTCCCATTGTGCTTGTTCTGTTTTCTTGATTGTCATCGTGCTTGCCGTGCGTGTAGGAGCCTTGACATATTGAATCTTCAAACTGAAAACAACATGTTTGAACGGGGGACTTATTCGATGCACACTTCCAACCACGACCATACAGATTAATCATAGCGGGGCATAGGGCAAGCGTTGGCTGAGTGGTTTCAGGCTGTAGCCTGCATGCAAGACAGTATACACGACTGGCTGATTCTTGAGGTTATGAGGGTGAGGCCGAGTACAGAGCCGAGGTTACTTGGTTTGCAACTTATGGAAAGCCGAGGGGATCTCCATGGGATCTATAGACTAAACTCCTCAAAGAGGGGTATCTCGCTAATCAGAAAAGGGACTACTATAGGGGTTATAAAGGGGGATACTAGTAGTTTACACTATGGCTCACATGTGCTGACTGACACCTCGATAAGGTTGGGCGGTATCGAATTGCCAGCCAATCCGCAGGTCTCCTGTCGAGACCTCAGTCAGGGATAGTCAGGGACTGTCCCAGGTGGGAGTTTCCCATATTTAGAGGTACCTTCTGGGGATCCCAATAATAGGGATTATAGTATTTTGGGGTCTCTATTGGTGTCCCCTTATTTAGGGAAACTACCAAATGGTTTTTCAGTGGGCCGAACGTGCTAAGGATGCGACCTAGGAAGGCTGGGGACACCGCAGAGGAGGCCTGCCCGCGTTGTCGAGCACTGACGCATTTCATTCTGATTTGCTCCATGGGTTTCAGAAGGGGCTTGTGGGCAGGGCAGTTCTCGTGAGATTGCCTTTGAAGCTGCTGGCTCAGTCGAGTTTCCAAGGTAGCTCCCGAAGGCAAACCTTGAAGCTCCACCAGCAACTAGAGCTCCAGAATGCCTAACCAGCCGAGCTGTTTAGATGTGCAACAGCCAGACACTGCCAAAAGCCTTGTTCGAAGAACACCTCTCATGCAGACATGCCAGTCACTTCCTTAGCAGACAGCCGGGGCCATGTTCGACTTCGACGCCTTGGATCATTCGGAGCAGTCAGAGGCGATTGCAAGGCTGGAAGACGAGATCGGTGATGCGGCCGGAGAAAGCGATAAGGCCTTCGACTTCATTGCAGGCGGGGGCCTGAAGGAGTAAAGGCTACTCTAAAAGCCACTGCTATGGCTCATTCTTCATGGCCAGATGCTGTTGACGAGGCTCCATCATCGAGTCAGTCTGCCCAGCCAAGATGCGAGTGAATCAGATACATGGCAGCAGTAGAGATAAACTTACTAGTGATTAGTGGGGAATGTGGGAATGTAATCCATATATTTTGCCTATGCAATATATTCCCTTATTGCCTACTAACTCCCCAGTAAGCAAAGGGCCCTGAAGAATTTGCAGCTTTGCCATCACCTCCTGAACTCTTAACCCTAATCCCTAAACCCTTAAACCTTAAACCCTAATCCCTAAACCCAAAACCCTTAAACCTTAAACCTTTGCATGGGCTTGAATGCTACAGGAGCCTCCAGAGCCCAGTTGTGGGCATGCCTCTTGGACTTATGGAATTGTTTAGGGTTTACCTGAGCCCCAAAAGTAGGTAGAAGAATAGCCCATATTGGGATTATACTGGGATAATGGAAAAGAAAATCGAAACTACTATTTAGAGGAAATTTGGGTGAGACTAGGCGCTTTCCTAAGTACGCTGGTACGAGGACTGTCTTGTAAAACAGGTCTGCCGGGCAGAAGTGAAAATCTCCACCTCCTAGATAAAAAGCTTCAGTTGTCATTTGTGGGGAGGCTGCTGCATAGCTACTGGCATGTGCGACAAGGGCTTCGCAAAACGCAGCAATTTCCTGTGATTTCTTCGGTTGGATTCACCACTGGAGCGCTTTTGAGGATATCGGCTGGGAAGCTCGCAGAAGTGCAGGCAGGCTGATGGATTCTGATGTGGGTCTGTCAGGCCTCCAGGCAGTAAAGTGAGGAGGTGAAAGGCTGGCAGACCAATCTGAGTAGGTGAGTAGACATCAGGTATCGTAGCCATCAATGTGATGCCCCGGTCATGCAACACCAAGCATGATATCGTCATCTTGTAGCAATCCCACCTCTTGCTTTACCTGCGCGCTCCGGAAGTGACATCTTAAGTATCTTGGATCACGTGCCTACATCACGTAATTCCCTGGACTTTTATCAGCACTCTTTTTGGCAGGCCTGTTGCGGACGCAGACTGTTGATCACCTGCGACGGACAGGACCGGCAACTGCAAAGCAGTCAAGCAACACGTTTGGCAACATAAGGGCAAGGACTTATGGTTCCATTTTCTCCATCCAATGACGAAGGCCGAATGCCAGATTCGCCGTGTCTGGTTTGTTGCCGTTGTCCTTACTTCGCATCATTACACAGTTGCGGCATGTTGTGGCACGAGGGCGTAGCACAAGAACGGGACAATTAAATGGCTTGGGGTGCCGACGTTGCTTTAGCCAGACATGCGCTTTACCCGACTACAAAGATCATAGAAAGGCTTTGGCAGGACCTCTTGGACTCAGCACCTGAAGTAAAGGTGTGCTTGCCATCAACTACTCAAAAGTGGCCCATGGTTTCGCTAGGTCCCTTCATGCCCTAGCCTAGCCTTGTTAGCTTGGGCACAGGAAGGTTGGGTGTCGGCTACGGCATTGGCCACTCTGCCTGCAAGTCTTAGCAGAGTGCCCCACTAAGGTTTCAGAATGTTTCGCTGCACCTTTCAAGAAGCACGACTTTCGCTTTCCTGCGTTGTGTTCGTTTCAGGTGGGTGTTCATTTCAAGGAGTGAACCAACCGCTGAGAACTCAGGATGGAACCATCCTCTGGCAAGGGGCTTGTTGCCGGAAGAAGAACACAGCTGTCAAGAAGAAAGCGCTCCTGGTGAGGCTTGGGAAGCTTGGGCATGTTCTGCCGACTTGAGAAAGAGGGCAACAGTGATCAAGCAATCTCCCGTTGCATTCTGTTCGTTGCTCCCAGGGGGGGAAGTCTTGATTCTGCACACCCAGCGAGCCATGTTCGGCAGGCCTTTCCGCGAAGTTGACCGGCCATGGATTCAGCCACTTGACTTTATTGCACGTGGAAAGCTCTTGCAGCAGCTCAAGCCTGGTTTGCACCTCTGCTAGACGAGGCTTATAGAAGCACAAAGCTTTGGCCTTCGAGATCAATCCCTCCACCAGTGACTGGGAGCTGTTATGTACTACTTCTACGTTGGGTTCATGTCATGATCTCGCTTCGTGGTGGTCAGTTTCAAACTTTGGTCTTGGAGCTTGAAGCTCAGATGGCTGATGCAAGCTGCAAAGCCCGGCTCGCGGACAAGTGTCGATGTGGCCATTAGTGGACCCCTGACAGACGAAGGGTTTCAGATGGCCTTGATGTATACACGTTGAAATTCCTGATTGGCCATGCTGCCGTACACTGCCTGCTTTACACAAGGCGCATCTGTGGCCGGCTACTGTGCCTGGCGCTTGGAAGGTGATTTGCAGCCTCGCCCTTACACAATTCTGTCGCATCTATGATCGGCCCTGACTGGAAACTGCGGCACTCACTGCCAAGTTCGCCAGTCCTCTACATCCTTTCTCTGGCAGTGGACTTGTCAGAACGCCGACGTGGCCATGCTGCGGTGCGACCCAGATGGATTCGAGTGAGGGTCAAGTACTGGAACACGTCCTACTGCATCTCAAATTTGGCAAGACAGGAGCTGCTGCGAAGTGCCATGAGACGGGGCGAGAGCAGTGGCGCGGCTGCTGCAACATTGCACGTGCGGGTGTGGGTCCCGACCGAGTTGACAAGCATTCCGTGTCTTGCATGCGGTGCATGTTCTGTTTCTGCAGGTGGACAATGAGCCGGCCAACGCATTGTACTCTCGTCTAGGCTCCCTCCAATTACATAGGGTTAAATGCGCATTCAGAATGAGGTAGGAGGCATTGCTCGCGGCGTGCGAATATTCCTGCAGGCTTTGTGCGCGGCGCTCGCGTCCGCAACTACTATGGACATTGCGATGCCTGGGAATTGCTCAGGCCGCATTTTTGCATCAGTTGCATTCCAGACCGACTCAGTGGCTTCAGTGGATGTGAGAGCCCTGGGCTTCTCGATTGGGTTGCAGGGAATTACCGGCCATGGTGAAGCGCACAGCGGATGACAGAATGGTGCTGGACTTACATCATAGCCGTTTCCAAGGCTTCCAGTAAGGCTGTTGACCGAAGGCGTCCCAAGGCACTGTATGGCCTCAGCTCATTTGCTAAGCCAAGCAGTTTCCCGGACGGGATCCTCCCAGCAGCCTTTCTTTCTGCCTAGGTGCTGAAACTGCGCGCTGGAGGCAATTTTTTAGCTGCGACACGCGCATGCCTATGTTGCCCTTGGTGCTTTATGCCTCCGCAAGTGTTTGAGCAGGGTTGGCCCAGCTCAGCGTCATCCGAATGCTTCGGTGGACACAGAATCATGAAGCGCCGTCCTCGTCCAGCCAGCCTACGATTTTGCGCACGATCTCACATGGTGGAAACTGGTGGCAAGCCCGTCTTGCGTTTCTTAATCGGGGACTGGGTCCAGGAGCAAGAAACCCTAAACCCTAAACCCCCTTGCAGCAATTCCTGAGTAAACACCTCATCAAAGGGAACGCGTTAAGTCGAGTGTCGCAGCTTGTGGTCTCTAGGCTATGGCTGCTCTCCTGGCAGCTGGTGAGGTGCCTATCGTGGACTGCCAGGAGTTTGTTTATGGCATGTGTGTTTGGAATGTTCTTTGATGCTGAGCTCTGCGGACCATAGGGATTTGCGGCCTTTTGGGATTAGCAGGCCAGGCAAGATTACGCGGGTCTCCATGACAACTGCTCCTTATTTTGTCTGCCATGTTGTTTGCGCTGTTTCTCAAGCACTTTCTCGGGATTCACTTTCCACAGTTCCACAATAGAAGTGGAATCGTCCCTGCTTGAGCCAAATATCTTCTGCAGGATGTCCAGCGTGAGGGTGGCCGAGCTTTGGGCAGCAGCTGCCTGCCGTTTGGTCCGAAAAAAAGCGGAGTCTGCTTATTTGAACTGTGTGGTTCAGGGTGTTCTGGTCAGTGTCGTCAACACCCTGCCTCGAAAATGCGTGCAGGACTGCGCCTTCGTGCCGCAGACCTGTGACATAGCAGCTTGGCACAAGTTTCCTGCTGTTGTCGTGAATATTTTAGAGGCTGCTTGAAAATCGCATCAAATCGTCCCTGCAGCCAGCCAAACTAGACCGACGCCTTTTGTGTGTTCTTTGAGTTAGCAGTGGGAGGGCCATCGGCTGAAGATCACATACCTACTGCTGCCGCTATCTCCTTCAACAGCCGCATGCTTGATTCCTCGCTGCCTCTGCTCTATCACCGAGCTTGATCGCTGCGCGCGGCTTTCATCTCACCAGCTTGCTCGGTTCAATCTTGCGTTTATGTTGGTCACTTGGAACCGAGGTTCCGGCTCTGCCGAAGGCCAGGCGGTGTGGAGATCTAGCACGGAGCAATACTTGCCTGTGCGTTGTCGCATCCATCTGCCACTGCTTGAGCTGACTGACAGATGAGCATGTGGTGGTGAAGGTCATCCTGAGCATGCTCACGGAGGCTTGCCACATTCCCATCGCGCAAAGATGGGGGTACCCTGAGCGAGCAAGCGCCTGAGCAAAGCTGCCGAGAGATGGACGGCACAGCGGCACCATACTGACAAAAATTTGACCTACAAGGGCAGCTGGAGCAGTTCTGGGTCAGGAACTGATTGTCAGCTGCTGTAAGATATCATCCGCATTCATTCCGCCAGATCTTTCGATGCCATCGTCTGGAACACCTGCACCTCATGACGGTTCATTCATTCCTTGGCTCTAAACATGGGTCTGTCTTTTTGTAGCCCGCCCTTGACCTCGACCTCCTGGTGGCTTTGTTCAATGAGGTGTTGAACCTGATAGCTGACATCACTGGTGTTCTTGCCCCAGAGAATGTGCATACGTGCAAAATTCGCAAAGTTCGCAATGCACAGTGTCAGGCTTCCCTTCCACACCCGCACCAACAGAAGCTTTCAGTCTTGGTGTCTAGTGTTGATGCAGACTTCTGGACATCTTGGGACTCTTCAGATACGGGTGTATGTGTGGAGCGAAGCGGAAGCCACTCCTGCATGTTTGCTCCAACATCATCTACGTTAGTGCAAAAGGCACCATAGGATAATCTTGGGACCAAAAGTCAATGGAGGATCTATTTACCACTCATTGGAGGCATGTCACAGAGGAGTGTTGTTTGAAGCTCAGGATGCATTGGATCAGCTCACGCACCTCGCGGGTCTGATCATGCGCCCAGTCTCCTTGGCCTACTACCAGTTCCTCGAATCAAAAGGAGAACGGTCAAAGGAAGAGGTCAGAGCACTCGCGATAAAGCATCCAACAGATGTGGCTGTCGAGGCACTGCCGTGTGATTGTCGTCGCTCGGCCCACTAGACGGACTTGGAGCAGGGCTTGTCAAGCTACCAGTGATCATGATGTCAATGAGGCACTCTTCAGCTTTATGTGGCCGTTGGTGCACCCGGTTAGCCTGCACCTCAGAAATGTTAGCAGCTCTCTGCCTGGTTAAGCTGAGCCTGCTTTCCAACAATGGCCATCTCGTGCTGGCCAGGTGATGAGCTTGTTGCCAACATATTCGTGGCTTGCATGCAGCTAATGCTGAGAATGAGCATGCATGTAAATGGGCGATGTGAGAAGGCTGTTGAAGAAGCTGGAACATCAATGTTCTGCAGACTTGGCTGAGGACAGCATCGTTTTTCCTTGGGTGGTCTACTGGGCCGCTGGCCCTGTTGTTGGAAGATGCAGCTTTACTGCAGCTTCCTGTGTGCGCAGTTGGAGCCTGCCACCTGCAGGCTATGTCTGGCTTGGAGAGGCAGGACTTGCATGCCACACGAGATTGTCTGACCTTGTTGAAGCGGCAGCTGCATGGTGTTGCTGCCCATGCTCTGGCTAGAATCGAAAGCAACATCAAACTCGTTTCTGCGATGCGAGGCTTGCCGAGATGATGGAGAACCCGGTGGGCGATGATGACACGGACATTGATTTGATGCAGCAGATGCATGAGCTGGAGGCCTTCTCCCTGCAGGGGATGCCTTTTGTACTCGTTTTCCTGAAGCCAGAGCCTCGAAGCAACCAAAACAAGCTCTTTCATTCTGCCCGTACACGTCGAACCTCTCGCTGGTGAATGATTAGATCTTTGGTTGCTGAGCAAATTACATTGAAGAGGAGTTGTTCACTGATTCGCATCGCTGTTCGTGGTTGCAGGTCGGCTTGCAGCTCTCCTTCGAGCTTTCGGAGACCCGGCGAAGCATGATGCGCAGGCTGCGAATGAAGAGTACAGGGTCAGAGCACTGCCGTTTTTGGAGAGTTTGCTGTGTCGGACTGACCTGCCCCAGACACCTTCAAGCTGCAGACAGTGGAGTGTTTCTACATGTCTTAGTTGTGGGAAAGCAGGAACCCTACCGAAACTGACCGCCAGGACACTAGCAAAAGGTTGCCCCAGCTGCACCGACGCTGCGAAGGCGAGCTTGTCAGTGGCACTTAGCACTTCCCTGTTGAGGCCCTTGCTAAGTTTCATAATTGACTCGTTCCCTTCATGGACTTTTCTATGCAGGGTGTATGGACTGGATCCCGGGGCTCCGGCAGAATTGATAGCAGCACTTGATTAGTTTCTCGCATTCTCAGGCGAAGACTCCGCCGCTGGTCCCAGCTGCACACTTCGAGGCATGAGCATATCACGCGCGAGTTGCCTCCATCGAGAGAACTCGCTAATTTTAAGGGAAGCTGCAAGATGAAGGTGCCAAACGCCATGTGAAAAGCTCATACCCGTAGCCTTTTTTTTGCGACAGGTGCTTTGGTGTATGCATCTGTTGATATGTTGAAAGGACTACTTCTGCTGGTTGCCTTTCCCATCAGCTATTGCTGAAGGGGCCTTGAGCTCAGAACAACGTCAGGGCAGGGTGAGGTGAGTCAGGAAAGATGTTGGCGTTGCTGGCTGTAGTCTCCTGCTAATGTGCAGTTGAGATTTCTCTGCTCTTGGGCCCAGGGCATGATTAGCAGGGGGAATCTATTCTGCTGTGCCAGATGACGCTCAAGCACGGTCACGTTGACCACGCCCATGCAGCCTTCGTCGAGGCACTGCTGAATTGGCACGCAGGCGGTGTTTTCGCTGATTTAGGGATTACTGGAAGACGGTGTCACTTGTCAGGTGCTTTTGAGTGCTCGCGACATTCTGGAACTTCCCTTGCGCAACCTGCAAATCTCGCAGAAGAGTTCCAAAAAGAAGCTTAACTCAAGTGGAATCCCAAACCCAGAAAAAGTTAAAGAGGAGGTCAATAAAGTGTCAAGACTCGGTATTTGTGTTAGATGTCTCGATCCGCAGGGGCACGTCTCGGACTTCCGCAGCTTTTTGCGCAAGGCGTTGCGCCGGTTGAGATCTCAGTCACCTGCGAGCACAGATCGGAACCTGACAGCAGATCCCATGCATCCTGATTCGCCATTATTTCTATCCCTTTACATGCCGATAGCAATACTATTATTATGATTATTGTTATTACGCTTATTAATATTTTTGTGCTTCTCATTACTATTCTGACAAACCTGAAGCCCCAACCCCTAAACCCTCAATTATCATCATTATTCGTAGAATTATTCCTGTTATTGCGTGGAAACTTTCGAGGCACAGCGCGGGCCGCCGCAGCCCCTGCGAGGCGATCCCTGAGGCCTTCCGGATGGCTTCAGGGGGATTTTTCAAGTGTTTGTGCAGGGGGATATATAGAGTTGGGGGTTAAGGGTTTATAGCGGGATATTATAGGGATTTAGGGTTCGGAGTGAGAGGGGGGGGTGGCCAGCACTGCACCATACATAGGGTTTAGGGTTTGTAGGGATATGGGGGCACATTAGGATGTGGGTTTTCTGAAGGTGTTGAGACTTTCTGAGGGGTGGTCTGACTTTGCTGCACTAATTCTAGCTACTTTTAATGGGATTTGTGATAACATTGATTGTATGTAGGACTGGGATCGCTTGTAGTTGTCTTGCACTGTGGCTCCAAGGTTGGCGCAGAGCCTGCAGTCTGAAGCTCCGTCGATGCAGCCGTTTGGGATCAAGCTTTTGCTGTCCATCACTCGTCCTCCGCGTGCCGCACGGGGCCATGCTCTCAGATCCGCTCTGCTGCAGATCCAAAGAGAGCTTGAATGGCCAAGAATTCTGATACTCCGGGCGTCAGACTGCTCCGCAAAGTTTTTGTCCTTGACACGAAGCCATGGCAGCTGACTGACAGGTCAGCGTCACCGTTGTAAGTCTTCTACCCGCAAGCTGCCTAGGCAACAATGCAAGCTGCTGAGCCTGATTGTGCAGAGATGCCTGCAGCAAAAGTGCAATCCTGCCTTCCCGCTGAGAAAGGCGCCCTGTTGAGCTTTGGAAGGAAGTTTAGCCAGATTATGTTGTATATGTTCTGCAAGTCTGATGGGTCTTGAAGGACAGGGCTTTCAATTTTAGCGGAAGTGTTTGCCCATTGAAATTAGCTACTGCTGCCGCTACGAGCTTTGCAAAACTCAACCGGTGTTGCCTAAAAGTACCCATCCCTGCAGATGTGGCGAGCCCTGCAGCCAGACGTGGAGCCCTGGCAGGATCAGTTTGGCTGTAAATCCTACATGTAGCACCAAAACACATATACTTCTGCTGTTCTTTAGCAATTTCAAAGCTCAGGGCGCAGTCCAGAGCAGGGATCTGCAAGGCCCGGCATCCTGCAGCCCAAAAGCATAACCTTACCTGTGGTTAGCGAGGGAATGATGGAATTGATCCGTATCGTACCCCAATAAGAACGAGGTAGCTTCACGTATTTCCATTTTTCTTTCCATTCCTTGAATCATTCTCTGCTCACCAGAGGTAAGAAACATACGATCATGTTCCATTGCTGTGCAGGGAGCGGGCCACCAGTGCCGCCTCACCGGATCCTTGTGACGAGGAAGAGCGACTGAAGCGGCAACCCGTCTCAAATTGGCAGCATATCCTGCATACTCCAGCATACTAATCCTCATGAAATCTCCGGATTTTCAACCTTTGTGATATGAGCTATAGTCTAAAACTCCTTGAAGGGGTTATATAGGGGCTTGTCTAGGGGACTACTATAGGGCTGATTAAGGGGGATGCCAGGAGTTTAGACTATAGCTCATATATCTACGGGCTCCATGGCCTATATACCTGGTGATGCCCCTTGGCAGACGATCTCGTTACAGACTTCGGAGTTTATTGGGTATCGAGCGTTGGGTTTCAGATTTGGGTCAGTTACACTTGCATTCAGTTCTGTCCTTGAAGCAGGACAGGAGCTGCATTGGTAACAAGACCTTCATAGACCAGGAATTGGACGCTTAGAAATGGCGGCAGCCGTCGCCCAAAAAGCCAAAAAAGTTTGGTTTACCCTCAGCTGTTCCTCATCCTACCCAGCGATCAGAGTTGCTTCTTCAGAATTTCACGTCCTGTTTCTTCCTGCCGCAGAAGAATTGAGGATCTTTGGCCCTGATGGTCTACCGCCAGCTCCATGTCCCTACAAACGCTCCGCTCCTTGGCAAGACTTGCATGGCACCCTTGAACATTGAGAATCCTAGCCCTGTGTGTCCAAAAGTCCTTGCTATACCAAGGACTTGTGGAGTTCAGACTTTCTCAATTAGCTTGCCTGAGGCTGCTTGGATCGGCAACTCTAGTTTCCGGGTGAGCCCCCAGCACACAAAGTGATCATCTCAGGTGAAGGTGCATGGAGCAAAAGGGCTGCTGATGGAGGCGAAGGACGCTTAGCCTCACGCTATGTTGCGGGTGGGCCCTGAAATAGTAATAATAATTAATAATCATGCTAGTAATACTCGTAATACTAGTCATATTCGTAATACTGGTGATTGTAGTATTAGCAATGATAGTAGTACTTGTTATAGCAGCAATTATGGTAATAATCGTAATGGTATTAATAATAGTAATGATAATAACACTAGTAATAGTAGTATTAGTAACAGGCCCACGGTGTGCAGATTGCTTCAGCTGAGGCGCCGAAAGGGATGTGATTGGACAGAGCTACCACGGCAACTGGGATGGTCAGGCCATTTCATTGCTTGGCCCCTCGGTACACCTTTGTGCCGTCTGCATGTTTCATTGATCTACGTATTGTCTGGTCAAGCGACCTCTTCTTGCTTGCAGGACAAGCTTGATTTTTCGCATAAGGGCAGATGCCCACTGGCAAGAGGAACATCTACCTTCATGTTTCTGAAAATGCGGTTGTCAAGGTCTCAAGCTGTGTAGCTTGCCGCCTTTCCTCTTGCCAGGTGTTTTTTACTTGGATGAGATGCCATCTTATCTGTCTTGAACCATACAGCCACTTGCCTCCATTTCCATCTCTTTTACTCTGGCATTTGGGCTTCTCATCCAGTTTTTTTTACATAGCTGGATTTCGCTGTGCATCTGCATGCGCCCGGTGAGAGCTTGATTGGAAACCCGTAGTCCAGAAAAAGTCCGATGTGCTTGCGGCATCGGATCATGTGGGTCCGTTAAGCTTTCGCGCCAACGTGCAGAGGGCCTTGCATGGTGAGCAGCAATGAAGTCAAGCCAGAGCTCTGCAGCAGGTGTGATCCTTCAAAAGCATTAGCATCGCAAACGCTCAGCCTCACATAACTGGATAATGGACTCCGGCATTGCAGAGCTCCCGATACGCATGTGCCATGAAGGTCTGTCTGACTGGAGTCTGATTGAAACCCGAACCTTTAGATTTTGGTGGCCAGCACTTGGATTGGACAAAAATGACAGGTACCATATGGCGGTTCATGGCTTCGAATTAAAGCATTCGCCTGTCAAGATGTGCTGTGGTCCGCAGGCGACATGTTTGAGGAATGATGAGGGCTTGTCTGAACCACTTGTCGTCCATTCTTGCCCATAGGCACATCCTGATCTGCCCGCACTTTTTATGCATGTCCTGGTTCGGGGTTCCATGCAAGTGTACTGATAGAGTGGGCCCTCAGAGGCTCACAGGAACCAGACCAGATGAATGACAGCCTCGCCTTGACTGGGGTTGGCAGCGCATGGAGCGGCGGGGCTTGGGCCCTGTATACAATGAGATAAGAAAATGTTAAGCTTGAAGTCTCTCTCTAGTTCCGGCATCAGTGCCTTTTTTGTGATGAGTGAATCCTTGGCAGCAATGTATGTGGATCAAGTATCAGAATCTCTCTTTGCGGAGCCTAACCACAGCGATGGCCGTGTCTACAGCCGCATGTACAGTACATGGCCCACCGACAGTTCCTGCCTAGACCCTGCTGAGTGGCCGATCCTTATGTCGAAATCCCTGATTCAACATCTAGACCGTCTTGCGAAAGCACTGGTTTGTTTCCATACGTCCTCATGAGCTGCAGTTGCTATGTATTCGCGACAAGCAGCTGTACTCAGCAGGAGGTCCTGATGTTGCCGACAAGCGCGACACATGCGCACTGAACAAG